TTTAATAAATGTAAATAACTTCACATTTACCTAGGCTTAATTTGCAAAATCTCCTGGATCATTCGACTATTTTATTAAAATTCCTCGTAAAATATCATCTGAATATATATTGAAATCGGTGATTACCTTAGTAAAAGCACAAATAAGTGATGCCTTTTTTATGCCTCACTCATTTAGCCTCATTTATTAATGAGGAGGCAAGCAATAAAAAAGATAGAAAAATTTTTTATTTCTTAACATTTCTTATAAGTTACTGGAAGATATTATTGCAGAATGATAATGGATATAGTTTAGGATATAGTTTATTTTTGTTTTAAAAAACATTACAATCAAATAAAAGAAATTTAAGCGTTCGCCAAACAAATTGCCTTATTTCCGTATATATATATATATTTTATCGAGTTTAATTTTTTTTATTAATAAACTGATCTCTTTATTAATCAAAAATATGAGGTTATATTATATAGTTCCCAGAAGTATCGGCAGAATTAATTTAATATTTAACTTTCTTAATGCAAAAAATATTGATGTATAGAGCAACGATGAATTAAGATATTTTAAGATATGCAATGAAAAATCAACAAACTTTTTGTACCTATTGCATGTACGCATGTGCGCTGAACGTTGTCCTTTGGAATTTTAAAAATCTACGATTTTAGAAACATTTGCCGAGTTTTTCGAGGAGATACATACTTCAGCCTTCGCATATATTCGTTAAAAATATTCATTAAGTGAGTAGGCAAGTGAGAATAAAAAGTGTTTATTTGCTAAATTAGAATTAATAATATTAAAATATAAACAAAGTTACGAAAATCTCTAAAGTGTTAAGTATTAAATGAATACGATATTTAGTTGTCTATATGTGTCAGGTTTTTGAATGAAATTATTCACAATTATTATTTTATAAAATTAAAAAATTTATTGAAAAATCATTACTCACTATCAAAAATCATTAAATTACTCAAAAATTATTCAAATTATTCAAAGTGCTTAAATGCCTAATTGCATGCAGAAAAGTGCGGGAGCATGTTGTAACAACAAAAAACCTTCAGAACAAAAAAACAATAAACGCACTTTCATGAGTATTTTGTAAACTTTGAAAACAATCGATGACAAAACAACCGATATTTTGCTGAAATATTGTTCCAAACTGTTTCTTTTTTGAAATATTCCTCGAAAAACGAAGAGATAAATTGGCGAAAATTTTTTAAATTAAATTCAGTGATTGAATGAATAAATAGACGAATGTAGGAAGACAGATGGCCTTCACTCGTTTATAAGCGGTAAGTAAGCAGTAGCAAATAAATCTTTAGTCGTTTATAGCAAATACCTATTGTTATTAAAATTCTTATTATTGCATTTCGTTAAAAAATTATTCTGCCGATTTTTTAAATTATTTTTTTTCAAAAAACATTTAATTTAACAGTAAATTTTCAAAATATTTTTGATAAAATTATTTCGATAAAAAATTGCTCTTGCTGAAAAAAGAATTATTTTTTTGCCATTTTTTTTTTGAGTCCTCACCATTACTGGCTGGCTTGTCGCACTGGACAAATATGCCAGTTCCTTGGCGACAGAAGTACAGGTGGGTCGCCATCATCACCCGGATTTTTGGACCGGTTTATTCCTGTGGGGAATAGAACCTCAGCATCGGCGTTCTCAACTGAGCAACAACCTATCATTTCCATTGGCTTCGACAACTTATTTCAATAATTTAAAGTTATTTTGTAATCAGAACAAATTGAAAGAAACGTGATTGAGTGAAATTAATAAGTGGCTAGTATTCATTTTTAATTAGAGTCTTTCTGTTGACTAAATGAATTTTGCCAGAGAGACACTTGGCAATAGAATTACAGGGAAAGTACAGGTTGGATCCAAGCATGAATCAGATTTTTTAATAGAGGTCTACTCTTGCCGAAAACGCACTTAATCATGATGTTCAAAATGATTAGCAACAACCTTTCGACAATATTATTTATATTATTTATTTCGACAATATTGTATATTAAGTATCAATATGGCAAAAGAATTTAGAAATTTACGTGCAAAAGGTTTAAATGACAATTTATATATTTAAGTAAAAATTAACCATAATAAATAAAATAAATTCAATGCCCACCTGCGATACACGATTATTATATTTACGAAGATTTCGTTATATGAATAATTCAGTATTTGCACGATTCATGAAAGTACCTTCATTTATCATTTTGATTACTTTATTGCTTGTTATTTAAGCTTTAGTGTCTCGATTCACTTTGCATCTTAAGATTTCATCGAATAAATTGCAAACCTTCATTTACTTCTTTCTTTTTTCTTTTTTTAGTTTCTAGCTTATCATATGGAACATGCATAATAAAATTGAGAAAATTCTTAAAGAGTGTCTCGCTATACTTATTCGGAAATTCGGGCCTCATGAAACTTAAACCTTCCATATAGCTTATTGAAATGAATATCTTAAGTCCCACTAGATCTCGAAAAATATGAAAAAAAATTGAATGAAGGGAGATAGAGGAAGCAAAGAAAAAAGATTATTCCTTTTAGTTTTATTTTTTTATTTTGCATTCTATTTTGCATTAAAATCTTTACGGCATTTTCGGTGATAAACATCAATTTAAACGTTTCGAAAAAAATTTGGATTTTCTAAAATTTCATTCCAGAAATCCATTTCTGATGAGTTTCTTATCAATATCACTTAGCATTTTCAATTTCATCTTCCTGAATCGGAATTTGTTTCAGTAAGATTGATTATTAGACGGATGATAGCTGCTTCTGTTAAGTACATATTTTAAATTATGTTCAAGCATTATTAATAGATTCGATTTTCGTCTCTTGACGAGTGAAAAATTGCCATTAAAAAAGAGGTATGGATGGTCCATTTGTATTTCCATTGCTAAAATCTCTTACTAAATCTCTTATTTTTTCTAGTAGTTAGTGGAAACCAAAGCCAAATGTGGTAGCTAAGAATTCTTGAAAATATCGTAACACTGTAGTAACTTGAAAAATTGGGCGACAAAACATCGATTTTCATTTGACAAAGAAGATTAGGGGTAAACCCATTTATATATTTCCTCTTATGCTTTTGCTTTTCATTCATTTTATTCACAGAAGTTGCCCAAACAAATTATAAATGATGGACAAAGAGAAAATGATAAATAACGAAAATAAACTGAATTTTCTTCAATTTTTATAAACATTTAATATTTCCATCAATTTGTCTCAAATGATTTAATATGAGAATTTAAAGCAATAAAAAAAAATCCCATTTCGCTCCATTTGTGAAAATTAATTAAATTATTCATATATCTCAACCTTCAGCAGTAGAATTTCTCCGACATAAAATATCGTATCGACTACATAAATTTTTTTCTAATAGTGGTTGCTATTGCTTGCTTAGCTAGTTCCATTAGTCATTAAGATGAGTTCCACCAGCTAGAATCATATAATAAGCATTACTCAGATAACACCCAAAGCAAATTTATTCCCCGGGAGGTGGAAGGAATTAGAGGGAATGAGGAATCAAGTCTATAATGCTTAACCTCAGTGAAGCAACATAACACAGGACAGGTATTATGAGATAGTGGTATGACATCAAAATTTCGCCATACTTTTATTTTATTTTCACACACTAAAATATATCATGTAATAATGGTTTATAAAAAGTTCAATCACGTTCGTAAAATGTGGGCAATTTCTTAATTTCTTTTTAGCATCGTAATTATTAAAGATAGTTGGCTTCAACGATCTTTGAAAATAATAAATATCTCTTAGACATTGTTATCGATATTGCCTAATCATAGAATTCACCAGAAATTTCTTCTACTATTACGAGCTTAGTTTGCGATAGATTTTTAAACATTGCGTATCAACAAGAAAATAGCATACTTTAAATAATAACTATAAATTAAATATTGCTCATTGATAGATTTTCCATATTTTTAAATCACTAATTAATTCCAAAATATGCAATTAACATTAGATTTCAACGGATTATTGTTAAATATCGAAAATTATAATAAGCAAGATTAATAAGCAGTCAATCGGGTGATGCTGGCAACTTACCTGTATTCCTATCGCCAAGGGACTCCCTGGCATATTCGTCCAGTGCGACTAGCCAGCGGAGTGAGTTTAATCAGTAGTGGTGAAGGCTCATTTAAAAGAAAAGCAATCAGTAGAACGCAATGCATTTTATTATCATTGTTGTTTAAGTTTTATGATAAATTTCACGCTTTTAAAGAGGCGCTTTTTATCAAAAATGCTCACAATTTAGGCAAATAATGATAAAATGAATATATCGTAATTAAGCATCTATAAGCAATGCTTAGCTCTTACTAATACGATTCTTTTTATTGTGATTTTTGAGTTTTTCAAGATTTTTTTTTTCACCAATTTTTATTGCTTCGATTCACATAATAAATCGATTCCTTATTTCGGATAAATTCGCTCGCTTATTTAACTTATTACGTTAATAAAATGACGAGTCATTCGATTCTAAGGAATGATAATAATAAATAATTCACTTTTGTAGGATTTTTAAGTCACTGCGAAAAAAAATTTTTTTCCTTACTTGTTCACTTTTTTAATTGCTTTATATGTTAGATTGCCTTTGCCTCGTAATTATAGACGAAATATTGAAATTTATGTTCTGTTTATGAAATCTATCGAATAAGCAATTGGCAAGTGTAGTTTCGTTTGAAATGAAAAAGGAAAATTTAAATTCTTCAGTTAAATGCCCGTTAATTTATTGATATTATCTCTATTATAACGGAGATAAAATTCACTATGGTTCTTTTAAATTTGAATATTTTTGATATTTCATAAGCCTTGGAAGCAATTGGAAATATCTAATTGAATTTTTTAAATTATAGTTCTGGTTGTGAATTTTTTTGAACGTTATTTTCGCAATATTTTGATTTCGCTTGTGGATAAAAAAGTGAAAATAAAGTATTTTATTGAAAATCTTCAACAACAGCCGCAAAATTTGTTGAAATTGGCAAAGAATGATATGCGAAGGGAATGAAAGACAATTATTCGATTTAACGAATGAAAAGACAGCTGAATTTATTAAAACTCTTATCGAGTTATCCAGGTGTTCTTATTTTTCAATTCATAAAAATTGAGCTGAAATTTTTATTTCGTCTATGATCATTTTTATTTTTTTAACGAATGCTTTCTTTTTACTTCAGTATATTTGCCATATTTATTAAGAAATCTCTATGAACTTTTGAATATCAATACTTATATGCAGCCCTCTCATTTCTTTATTTTCTGTATTTAAATTGTTCAAATTATTATTTATAAAAAATCACGAGCTCTGCTTAGACAAAAGAAAGAAATATTTTAAAAGAAATATTTGAACATCAATTGAAGTAGAATTAAAGAAGTAGAAAAGCTCAATGTATTATTGCCCAAAATTCACTAAAAGTAAAACTGTTCTTCAAAAATCGGGTGGAGCTCATTTCTTGTACTTCTTTCGTCAAATGTTTCTCTATCAAAATTTGACTAGTTACTAACCATATGAGGTCTCATGGAAAAAAAATGGCAGTAGATTTATTTAGAAGCATTTGAATTTGAATACGAATTTTTTTTAGCATTTTAACTGATTTAAGGCTTTTAAATTCAAAAGATGCTAGAAAAATAGAGAAATACGAATACGAATAATTTTTTAGTGCTTATACAAATATACATAAATATATGTGCCTTGCGGTTTGCGCTATAGGTATTATTGCAAACACTGTGCACGTCTTGGTATTAACACGACCAAATATGCGAACAAGTGCTATAAACCGTTTGGTAAGTAAGCATTTCAAACATTTTTTTCAAAGCAAATTAATATTTATATCAACATTAATGTTAATTTCAATATTAGATATAAATATAAAGCGATTCTTTTAAGGATTTCTGGAAATCATCTTAAATGATTATGGAAATTTTCATGAAGATGGTAATCCGTATTTTTGGGGGACTGTTGCAATTTATGAAAGTGCATTAAATTTTAATAATACAAAAGTTAAAATCATATTAATAGATACAAGCGATCAGGCAAAACTTAGAAGTTTGTTCAATGTAATTCGAATAAAGTGTGATATAGCGATATAACATAATGCACTGGTAAACTACGTTTCTACGTTTCTAAAGAATAAATCGAGTAATATAAGTTATTTATCACAGAGAGCCAAGCAAAATTAAATTATTGGAAATTGTTACACATAGCTCCTGTGGGGTTATTCTTAAGATATATTGTGATATATTATTAAAGCATTTGAGGATTAAGCGACATTCATCGCCTGAAATGAGGCGATAACATTTAAATTGGATTTAGCCTGTAGCTATAGCTCTTGCAAACATATAATCATTTAAATAATCATTTACACATGATGAAAAATATTTTACCGAATTTCCAATTAAGATTTCTTACTCTTCGTACAAATTCACTAAAATGAACACTCAATTTCCTTTCAAATAAATTTGCAATAAAATTACTAATTTCAAATTCTAATTCTAAGCGTATATTTAACTGAATTTAATTCTTATGAGCATTTAATTCTTCTCATTTGAGTAAAATATAGTCAATAAACCAACAGAACAGGTTTATTGAGTAACACATTGCTTCAAATGATCCACGAAAATTTCGATTCCTATCACTTAGTTGGAGTAAAAAGTGAGAGGCGAGGGTCTCCTATCTCTACCAAAACGCTTTCCTTAGTATTAAGTGGAGCTTCAATGGAGTTATAGAAAGTACTGTTAGTACTGTTAGAAAAAGAAGAAGTAAAATTCGGCATCTAATTAGAATATCTGTTAATAAATAAAAATCAGAGACTGCAGGTACTTTGTGATGATATGCATTATATTTGCAGTTAGCATTAATGGCAAGCTGTGATATTTGTACAATGGTATCCTATACAGTATTTAATATCCGATTCGGCCTTCTGATAAGCGCTGAGAATCCACCGTTTGGTTATTCGCTTGCATGGATTTGGTTTCTCCTAATGCATGTTGTAGTTAGCATAGCTTTACATACAGTTTCATTATATATTAGCGTGGTAACAGCTTATATACGTTATCATGCTATGGATAAGATTGCATCGCGATGGCTAATGGCCACTTCTGCAAAGTCAGTACTTTGAATAAATGTCTTGTAAAACAAATGGTGCAAAAGAAATGTATCAAAAAAACCATTTCTCTTTTCTTATCCTTTGAAACTTGTAATTTCTATACAAATCGTATAATCACTGAAAATAATTAGAAATTTAATTAATGATAAATTGCTGAAAGAATTAGATTTGAGTCGAAATTGGTTTCGCATCTATACAGAACAGAAATTTTCTTGATTAAAAAATATTTTTCTGGAAGATTTCAGGCCGATTTTTATGATAATATTGCTGGCGGTCGGATTTGCATCGATACCAACTTTTCTCGTTCATGGAATCGAACGAGTCAACCCAACATTAGCCAACAATGAAACTCTTTACACGATAGGCATTCCAAAAATTGCTATTGCAAATCATTGTTTTCTTTTTAAATCGAACTTATGGTTGACAGGAATTTTGTTTAAGGTAATAAAATATTCTATGATTAAATATGATCCCAACTTTTGGAATTTAAAAATTTAAGCGATATTTTGATAGATTCTATTTCTAACGACACTCCTTTCCAATGCAATTGAGGAACATATGATGTCCAATTAATTTCTTGTCCTTATCGCGAGTAAATTTATTTGCTGCGGATCCCCCTCTACTTTTATTTAAAAGTGACTCTGTGGCAAAACCCTGGTATTCAGTAAAACTGGTTAAATGGTGATATATACTAATGGAGAAGCAAAAAAAGAAATGATTTTTTAAACGATCCGTGCTCTTCCTTTCTTGCCATGTTCTATAAAGTGTCAATCAATTTTGAGAATCCCGGTCAAACTTAGGAAATTCAAAAATTTGAAGAATGCTTGATTCTTTATGATAAAGTTTTTCGGGATGAATAGTAAAAACAATCAAGCTAAGACCACCATCCACCTTCGTTCAAACACCACCTGTATTAATAATGTTATCACAGAGCGCCGCCTTCGCTGGTTAGGACACATTCTCCGTCGTCCACCACAGGAGTTGACGCATATTTCGTTATTTGCTAAACCGTTGGCGTTAAAAGCGAGATGGGCCAAGACCTGGACTGATACGGTGAGAAAAGATTTTGAACGTATAGGTGGACCAGCAATATATGGACTTAGACGATGAAAAAAGGAATGGCTTCCATTACTGTCGACGATGGCATCAGACCGCACATCTTAAAAGCGTCTCATCCTTGTAGCCGTTGGAGCCAGTCTAACCAGTAATGGTGAGAGCTGCTAGAAGAAGAAAAAGGAAGAAAGAAATTGGAATCTTTGAAAATTGATATTTAAAAATAAATTCATCCGGATTCCACCCACAAAACAATTTTGACAAGTCTTAACTCTATCTTTCCATGGATTCGTGACATTATCAAACAATAATTATCAATCGCTGTCATCATTATCAGTCTTTTCCAGAATTGAAATATGATATTCTGCTCTTCGTGAGAAAATCTTCAAAGCCTCCTTTGAAATCAAAAAATAAAACAAGAATAAATTGTTCATAAAAAGACATTACCGTTTGTACTTAAAATAATTTAAAATTAAATTAAAAAATTAAAAATTTAAATTAGAAATTTAAAAAACAATTTTCACATTTAAATATCAGTGGTTAGTGCTCACTATTTCTCGTCTAGCGTTAGTAGCTATTAGAGATTCATACCATCGAGTCATTTGCCGATAGAACTGCAGATATGCTGTCACTATCGTCCACCGGCAGTGTCAACAACAAGGTTTTCTAAACCAATGAATTTGACTTTTAATGATGTGGTTCATTCTCTTCAATGTGTAAGAAAGCAATTGATGTTTGAACTTATAGTCCAAGAATATTTTCGCAGCAATTCAAAAAAGACAGGAAATGGAGAAAATAAGTAATCCAGCCATTCCAGGTTATACCTTGCATTCTTTTATTCTCGTTTACAATCGCACTAATGAAAAAACTAAACGATAATCGAAAAAGAAGGATTTTCTTAAGAATCAATAGTAAATTTTCGAAAATATATATACCCGATCGAACGACAAAAATGCTTACCATACTTTTGTTAATATATTTATTCACCGAATTACCTCAGGGTATGTCGATTTTTGTTTTTAAACATCTTTTTCTGTCTAAGCTTCGATTAAAATTTGATACATTTCTTGCTTTACCAAGATCAGCAGTCTCCATATAACTTGTTTCTTTTATAATAGTAAAATGCATGGATATAAACGATAGCAATTAAGCCTAAATGGTACATCATGTATGTCAATTCGAAGCATAACTATTTAGCCCACCATTTTCTAATTTCTCGACAAATTCCCAATACCTCGAAAAGGTTTAAACAATTGTATTCATCTTTCTTATCATTATTAAAAATTTAACATTAAATTTTGAAGGCATAATTGCAATATTAAACGGTTTATTTCCAAACGACATCCATCAATACATATACCTTTCTGTTGGAGAATTGCTCGATTTTTTCTCACTTATTAGCTGCTATGCTTGCTTTATTGTTTATCCGTGTATTTCAACACAATATCGAGAAACGTTTCGCGAAATGTTAACTCAAATAAAAAACAACCAGCGATGTAAAAAATTATTGCCAGAAAAAAGCAATAATTTTGCGATGGCTACGGTTATGATGGGTGATGATTTACAATATAGAGACACTGATGCATTTTTATAAATTTTCGATATTCTCTTTCATTTTGCCTATGGATTAAGATAATTTTCAACCAAATCCTTGTATCTATTCAAATGTTATTGGAAAAATTACAATATAATTAATTAATTATTCCTTTTGCTTAAGCCAGATGAAAAATGTTTGAATGAGAAAATTTTCCAATAGCAATGAAGAGAAGATAATCTTCGTACTTTGTACAAGTATCTATTTCAAAAAAAAACACCGTATTAAACTAAATATTCTTGAAAAGAAATATTGGAAATTTTTATATTTATTTAAATTCATAACATTCATTTTAAAATAATCGCTCAACTGAGAAATAAATATCAACATTTAAAACTCCAACTAGCCTTTCATATTCATATGGGCTTAAAGCATTCTTCCATTATTGATTCTTTTTATAATCAATTTTTTTCATAATATACTTAAAACATAAATAAACGGGTCATAAAAATGCAGGACTTCTCTGTCTCTAATGAGATATCTATTACATTTTGCTTTTATGCTTGTTTTTTTGAATAACTTTGAATAATTTTTTATCAAAAATATAAAATTACTTCCAATATTTAAAATATTATATTAAAACGTTAAATGCTATTCTAACCAGCATTTAATTTCAAATCCAGCTTGCTAATAAAGTTTTTTTTTTAGATTTTAGATTTTGTAATCTCCTCAAGAAGTTGCCAGGTTTGATTCATGAAACGAATTATGAATCGGTTTCACCAAAAAACCCCAAAACTTAGCTGTTTACGTATTCAGGTAATGCATCCTTTATATGATCTGGGATTCCATTAACAATATCCTAAAACAAATTTTATGAGAAAAAAGAATACACTTAAAAAATTACTTTTTTAATCCATTAAAGAATGCTAAATAAACTATAACTTCATGTTTCACCCAATTTGAAGTTGCTATAATTCCGCCGGTATTGACCACTTGAGCATCTGCACCATAATAAAATAAACGACCAGAAACATCAGTGAAATTTCCACCTAAAAATAAAAAAAACCAATCATAAAACCAAAAAACCCAGAAACCGAACGATATTGATAGAAATACAGCGAATTCATGGAAAAAACCTGCTGCTTTAAGAACCGCTTCTGGAGCTGCTGTGTCCCATTTTTTACACCCTGAATTCGCATATACGTATGCTGCTGCACCTTCTAGACACTTAAGCACCTATAATACTTTCTTTTCACTAACAAAAGGAAAAAATCTGATTTCCTAAAATAAGCTTAACAAACATCAAATAATTTTAAATCTAGCGATAAAATTTAGAAACCTTAAAACCTGCACCACCAACTTTCTGCACTTTGTCTAGCAATCCTTTCGATTTTAATGCATCCAAAGCCTCTACGACTAAAGCGGTTGAATGATTTTTTGTGGTTACAACAACCCTTTCTTTTTGTTCTAAAAATTATCAGCTATTAATAGTTAGAATTTTTATAAAAATATCTTTAAAAAATGGATTTTGGAGAAAAATAAACTAAATGAATAAACTAAATCAAAATTTCGTGAACTTGCAAAAAAAAAACACTTCGGATCATAATTTTTCATATATATTAAATATTTTGCAATAATTATTCAATTATTAGCAACTCAGATTTTCATAAAATTACAAAAAAAGCTCAATTTCAACAATTGGATTTAGACTTTGACAGGCATTTGCAAAAAAAAATATATTGCATTGCAAACCATTGCTAATTTTTATGCCATGAACACCGACTCCAACAACTGCCCATACCGTTCGTCCACCTCCATCTTTCCCATAATAAGGCTGATGAACTATACCGGCTATAGGACGTCCTTTATATGAAATCCCAATCAAAACAGTTATTTGTTCCAATAAAGCTGAAAAACGCATTAATGATTAAGCAAATAAATAAATAAAATTTGAAAATTCGGAAAATTTTAGACATAATTAAATATTTAAAGAAGAATAACATTTCTATCATAAAAAAAAAATACATTGATATACAGCAACATAAAAAAAGAAAATTTAAACATAAAATAATATAAAATATAAAATTATATATATATATAATTGTTATAATGTTATATTGTTATAATATAAAATTTCACAAATAGCAAAATTCGAATTCTAAAATTTAATTCATTTCGTTAACTTCAGCGATAAATAACTAAGAAATATTTTATAAACAATATTTTCTGAGAGAAATGTTCAAAAAAAAACAAAATTTTTGCTCCCTTTTGGCATAAATAAAATTAGAAAAAAACGAATTTTTAAGAAAAATCAAATAAATAAACGATTTAAGCCAGAAAATATTAGCGCTAAACGAATAAATTAGACAACCAACGATTTTCATCGTTCGCCGCTCGTGTTAATTCCGACGTACCATCCAAAGGATCAACCCAAATTACTACCTAAACTAATAAAATTTAAAACAGATTATTTTAAATCAGCGATACCCAATCTAAAACCAAATTCTACAAAGGAATTTCAAATGCTAAGGATGATGACTGAAATACCATTTTTTTTTTGAAATAAGGTGGCTAGTCAGGTAAAAATGCTGAAAAAATTTGCGAAAGTCATTTATGGAACCAAAGGAAAATTCTGCGACAAAACGAAAAATGGCTCAATGACACAGATTTAGCATTTTTGGCGGATATTAACATGTATAATCAAGATGAAAATCAACTTATCAATGTTGTATTTCAAACCATAAGCGTTCGAAGAAAGTTGAAAGAAAAAAAAAAGGTTATGGCAAATTCAATTTACGCAAATAACTTCATGCATTTTAATAAATTCGCTAAATATAGCGAAAAACATGCAGCCTTGCCCTTCGTTTTGGTTCAGGAATTTGAGGCCTCAAGATTTCTGGAAATGTCATCAACAACGTGGCATATTTGTTATTTTTTTTATTTTCGGTCAACAATATCTGAGAACTTTCAAATGGAATGCATAAAAATTGCAATGACATTCAGCTCAAAGAAAAATTTGATCATATCTCTTTATAGAATTTTTAAAAGACCTATCTTCTCAGCAAAAAATATCTCGTTTCATTCGCTTATTCATATCATTAGTTTTTAGTATTATAAATTGTCGTGAGAACTTTTCTAGGAGTATAAGAAGAGCGAAATTAAAACAATGTTTCTGACGGAAACTTTGAAAGCCTAGAACTTTGAGAGTCGCAATTATTTCCATCAAACCAGACAATGGTCAAATATTCCATTAGTTTCATGGTTTTTCTTTTAATGAAATAGATGGACTTTCTCCATTTCATTCACTTAGTCTAAGTCTAATTCTTTTTATCTCAGCACTTTTTAAATTTAAATTTAAATTTTTTAAACAGCTTTCACCATTGCTCGTTAGACTCCCTCACTCCCTCCCTCCTCTGGTTTGCTACGCTAGAGGGTCTCTTGGTCAATCCACTGAGCCATTCTACTCTTCTTTATTTTTCTCGGTTAGACGACATTGTCACCTGACGAAGAGATCTGATGCGTTCGCGGATTTGAATCCAAGTCTCTCTCCCGAATCTCGATTCTTATCTCGCCACTGAGCTACCAAAACACTCTTCTGCTTTAAGTAAAAAGAAAACAACCGGAAAATATTTTCGGAAAATTAATGCTTTTTAATTCCTTTTTCATATCATTGGTTCACTAAATCTTATTTAATAATAGACAATTAAACCGTAGTTAAATTTATTATTAGATTTATTAAATCAAACAAAACCTCATCAGACCTAATGGTCTTGAATTCCGGCGGGCATTCTGCACTCCTTAGAAGAACGTCAGTGGAGTGATTTAATTCAAAATGAGATGCTGTTGATTTGTGTTCCTAAAAACAATAAATTTTAAGCATTTTTATATAAACTATAAAAATTTTTGAATTTTTTTTATATTCTCATATTTTTTACATTTCTACAACCTCTTTTCAAAACTGTTAACATCTTAATATCTACTTATGATGCTATTAAACTATCTTCGTACGCAATTTAACTGCAATTTGTTTTATGAAACAATACCTCCTCACCGATTATAATAAGATTTCCACCAAATTTCTTTTGAAGCGATTGAACAATGCAATCCTGGGCTAAACGATCCGCTTCGGTTTGCAAATCAGTTATACCACCGACTCCTTTATTCACTATCTTGAGATCACCTTTCCTTATAATATCCTACAAATTGTTTCGATATAAAATTCAATTGCAGAATTTTTGCTGACGATTATTCTATCCCTATATATGACTGCTGAAATCATGCTTTTTTATTATTTTTCTCTTGAATTTGTGAAACAATTATATTATGCAAAGTGCATAATGAAGCATAAAATTAATAAAATACTAAAATTTGGATTTAAATTCAGATTCTGATTCTTCACAGAAAAGAATTAACATTCGCTCTATTTTCTGGAAAGGGAGAGTAAAAGGGTTAAACAAACTAAATAAAAAAACGACCTTGATAATTCTGCCCGCTGATTCGGAAATAGACACCGATGAAGCAACAAGTCGCATAAGAAAACTGGAACGTTCCCACATCAAATTCTTTTCTTCTTCGTTTTCCGCTCGATCTGATTTATTCATAACAATCTGAAAATTCCTCACCTATAAAAATTTATATTCAAAATAAAATTTATATTTAAAACTTCATTTAATTTATATATAATTTAAAAATTAAAATTAAAATTTATATTTATATATAAAGATTTTCGCTTTTTCCTTTCCGTTTAAATGGTCACCCATCGGCGCTTAGAGCTGTCTCTCCCTCCGTCTTAAGTCTTTTTGCGGTGCAGTTTTCTCATCGCAGTAAGAAAGGTTCATTTGCTGTCCAAGTAAAGGAAAAGCAAAATTTGTTCGCAAAAAGACTTATGTGATTGTAAAGGTAAAATATTTCACTATAGCAATAAAGCAAAAACTGAAACTAGTCCGTACGACTAGCGATTCGCGCAAACAAAGGTCCGCACGAGTAGAATTTCCACGGGACAAAGCTAACACGCATTTCCACAAAAATCCCTATAATTAACCAATCCTCGCATTATTCACTCGTAAAATATAATTTCAATTTAACGGAGATTATAGGCAATAAAGGTCTGCATTCACCAAGTGCCGAATAATATAATTCAGATTTTACGAAACTCAATGAAACATCTCTTAAGGTGGGCAAAATGTTGACCAAGAGAGGGAGGCCAGTTAAGGGGATGTGATGAGGGGGGGAGGGGGGAGGTGTCGAAGAATGTAGGGTGTCTTGGAAATTTGAGGTCTATTATCCTGCTTATCTTAATGAATTAAAAATTTGCTCGTTTCTGTTAGATATACATAAATCTCCGTATAATTCTGGTCCTACTAAAAGATTTGAAAATCTTGGCACATATCTCCTGATAATGTAAATGCTGTCGAGGCAGAAATAAACCTCAGACCGTTAAGGCAATAAAACAGAAATATATAAGAAAAAGGCTCTACGAAGGGTTGAAGCGGCAAAAAGTTTTATGCTGATTTTGCTTATATATTGTGGCAAAAGAATGCAGTAGAGCTCTGCGATGTTACGGAGATGTTTAACGGATTTTTCACAAAACATGATGCGCTGAGTGGTATATCAAAGGGTTTTAACTCGGCAGAATGAAATTTTGCGAGTATTTTACCGAATTTCAGGAAGTATTAGTGCGCTGTGACAAAAGAACTCTGTTTGGCAGCATGGACCGCAGCTAGATAATGAAGCTTAAGGTGTTACTATCGAGTTTATTAAAAGATACGTTTTGATATGGAATCCTTTAATTCAATTTTTTGTTTTTCTATTTTTGTCCTCTCTCAAATTTTACCTCCCCATTCGACAGGAGTAAATCTGTCATGTTATCAGAAATCTGGGTGGCTGCTGAAGACCCTTGCAACTCTATATCAAGTGACTCTATGATGAAAGAGTCTAACTCTTCTCCGATATGCATGATACTTGCAGCTCTGTGGTGCATCGCATGCAATCCAGGCGTAAAACGATTTTAAAACTTGTGAATAAAATATATTCACCGTAATTGCTCGAAACCTGTCAAGGAAAACGGCTGTCTATATGCGTGGCTAGGCGTCAGGCGTAGCAGCATGGACGTTGGGCGTTGCAAGCAAGCGATCACCATCCATAATCTTTAAATATCGTGTGGCTGATCGCATTTTAGGGCATTTTTTCCTTTGCTTCTTGTTTTAAATTCAAACAAACTCATTTGAAACAGGATAATTTTGTTGAGCCAAAATTAGGAAACACAAATTTTATTTATTTTATGCAGATTTCAACACGCACCCATCTATGGCAAAGTGGAAGGATGACGAAAGTTAAACGTTAGCAAACTTGTAATGTTCGGGTTATTTTAAAATTTAGAATTCATATATTTTAGATTATGCCAAATTGAGATTTTCTTTGGTTTCGATTGAATAAGTAGTGAAACAATTGTTGGAAACACTGCTCGATATCCAGTATTAGTTGGAGTAGTGCAAACTGCAACAACTATGCCATCTGAGCGACTGATCAGTAATGCTGGATATTCGCTAGCAAAAGCGAGTAAGGAAAAGAACATGGCCATTAGAATGTTATTTTTGTGGAAGTCCAATAAAATATAGCTTATTTGGAATTTCATTTTGACTTAATTTTCCAATTTTATTCTTAATTATTTTTTATACTCATTTTTTATTTAATAAAATTTTATGTTTTTTGTTTTCGTAACGATGCCTTCAGCTTCGGCCGTACGGCAAATTGGCTTTTGTTATAGCCCTAATCATTAGCTCTATGATAATCAATGAGGTATAATCAACGATTTCAAATTGCCTTTTGATTAAAGCATCTGATTGTTAATTTAATCGATTAATTAATTTTTAATCGATTAATTTAAGATTCATTATTGCAGATTTAAGACTGTGGTATCTTAGATCTGTGTTATACAAAAGTTTTTTTTTTTCAAATGCTATCAAAATTTTATATCAAAAGTTTATTTTGCTATTTAAGATTTAAGATTTTAAGTGCTCGAAATCTATCAAGGGGAATGGTTATCTACACGCGTGGCGAGGTATTAGCCGCCTCGGCGTAGAAGGTCAGAATGCTTATGGGCGTTGCAAGCCAAGCGATCACTGTCTAAATACCACACCCTTTCTAAATATCGTATGGATATCGCCTGTTTTCAGAGGTCTGTCTTCTTCATTTCGGGTCACGAGCAATTAAACCTGGCTTCGAGGCAAAGCTACTGGCTTTATCACTGTGGTGCCTCAGATAACTCGGGACGAAATGGCGTGCTGATTGTCATGTTTGGCCTATTCCGCTTTGATTGAGGGGAAACCGATAAGCGACTGTATGAACTATGTCCGCTTCAAAGGGTGCTGCAATATCTCGGTCATTAGTGTTTATACCCCAACTTTATTGGTAGATGAGCATGATAGTAATAAGTTCTAGGCGGCTTCAATTGTTAACAATGTCTCTGCTGAAACATGACATGGTCATAGTCGGGAGAAGCTAGAATGTGTGCGTAGGTCGTAATGCCGCTGCGATGACCTCAACAATTGGTAAATACGGCATCGGAGATCGGTGTGCCACCTTCTTCGCTATGCGGAAGAGCATATACTTTTTCTTACTAATGCTTACTTTCGCCATCTTAGAAAATATCTAGTCACATAGAACTCCCCGGACAACCAACACTTCAATCAGACTGATTATATTTTAGTCAGTCGCTGTTGGAAGAGTTCCGTACTAGAAAGTCGTTCCTTTAGCGGCATTAAACGAGCAATTTTCATGGATCTGACTATGTTATGGTTCGAGCCAAGGTCCGCACAAAATTGACAACTCGCAAAAAACCGCATCTCCTAAGGTCCTTCAACTATCTCAAACTATTTAAAGGATTCGGGAATATTAAGCGCATATCAAACCGAATTATTGAAGCATCTCAATGGTACAAATATTAACTCTTCTGGAATGGCAAATGAATACTAGTCCAAACTAAAGGAATGTCTCCGAAAATCAGCCACTTCCATGCTAAGGAATACTAGTAAGAAGTGCGCTAGTTGGGTATCGGAAGCAACTGCGCCATACCTGATATAGTTGATACGTTCGTAGAACCATACGCTGCAACTGTGAGTCGGCAACAGAAGAAGATGGTCTTCAGGCTGAATTCTTCAAATGTTGTCCATCGTGCTTTATGATGTAAATTTCACATTATCACATGATCGCATCCACCTTCGTTCAAATACCACTTGCATGAATAATGTTATCACAGAGGGCCACCTTCGCTGGTTAGGGCACATTCTCCGTCGTCTACCACACGAGTTGACGCATATTTCGTTATTTGCTAAACCGTGTGACGGTTGGCGTCAAAAGCGAGGTGGGCCAATCAAGACCTGGACTGATATGGTGGAAAAAGATTTTGAACGTATAGGTGGACCAGCAATATATGGAGTTAGACGATGGAAAAAGGAATGGCTTCTATTAATGTCGACGACAGCATCAGATCGTGCCGCTTGGAAGCGTCTTACCCTTGTAGCCGTTGGAGCGAGCCTAACTAGTAATGGTGAGAGCCGTTAGAAGGAGAATATCTAAGATCTAGAAAATTTTAATTTGGGAAACTTGGAATTTAAAATTATATTTGCTAAAATGTTGTTATTTTGATAGGCCAACATCGTGATTAAACAAAAACCCATCTTTTGCTTCAGTTTTACGCTGGGAATTATTCTTAGTGTTCCTTGATCTATTGATTAAATCATGTTGATAGCATATTTATTTTGCTGTAAATTAATATGGCACAGAATCGTCTCCTCTCATGTCGAGATGGTGATTATTGCTTCATTTTTTATCACTTCTGGTACAAAACGGATAATGAACGATGAATTTTCTATTTAGAAATAAAGATTTACCAAGGAGCAGTTTAAATGAGTAAAAATTTTGGAAATTTTAAATCATTTGTTACGAATACTTTATCACAAATAATGGCAATATTCCATTTCACATTTTTTCTAAGAAAACTTAAGATATATTTGTGAAAATGATATATTTGATGAAAGTCGTTGAATGGAATTCAAGGCGATAGCTGAAGGCGATTCCGTGAAGATTTTTCTTTGATGATGAAATAGAAAAAAAGCGATATCGAATGAAAAAGGGAAAAGATGATAAATTAGAAATGTTCCATCGTTTCAGCAATTATCATCACTAAGATGAGATATTATTCTTCAGTGAAATATCAGATAACTAATCGCCATTATCCTCATTATTCATTATTCCATATTTTCGATTTCGATTTTCCATTTTTCCATTATAAATTTTCTGTATTTTTTTTTAACGCAAAAACAGAATCCATTTGAAATTTATCGATTTAACATTAAAATGAAAAACAGCATTAATGACTGAATATTTACTAGAATATTTGCATGGAATAAATTCACATATTGCAAATTTTTTACCACAAATTTTTGAGAAATTCTAGATGAACATTCTACGGAGTTGATATTAGGCTGCATTTATTTTCTAAAATTTGTTAAGCATTCATCTTTATTGTGCATTGATTCAATTTTGAGAACTGCAGCATTTCGCCAGAGAACCTCTTAAAGTTTGAAATACAGGTAGTGCTTTTACCATCGCTTTGGTTTCACTTTTAGTGATTGGTTCATTTCTGTTCTGCGGTAGAAATCCATAGTGCTCGAATAATTCAATCGAAATTCATTATACTGCATGGCATAAAAATTAAATATTTTTTATTCCAGAGAAATTTCTCATGAAAAATCATTTTGTAGAAATATAGTCTATTGTTCTGTTATTCAAGATCAATCCATGATTATTTTCAGGTTCAATTCTCAAAGGACGCATTCTTATGGTATGGGTTCATGTAAACTCATTATATTTTTTGCATTTTATGTGATATATTTACAACAAAAACTAATTTTTTATTCGTTTTATTGAAACAAATTCAATTGATCCCAAAAAGCATCCGGTTGATTATGGACGATCGTTTCCAATTTTTCTCAATCGCATTTCTTATCTTTTCTCCATTATTTGTATAATTCATATATCGCTACGCTAATCAATTCAAAAACTATGCGGTTTTTTTGAAAGAAATAATCATATTTTCGTGATTTCCGCCATAATTTACCATATTTTATTAGTCCGAGTATTAAATCTAAAAAAATAAAACCACTATAACTTTTTGGAAATAATCCAAATGATAAGGCCAAAGAAAAAATTTTTCGTTGTCCTATATCTTAACACTATAAGCTATAATATGAAAATTTTGAATACAAAATTTTCATTATTTTTTAGTTTTAGTTTAACGTGGAAAGCAATATGAGAAGTCCTCGAAGAAATCAAAATAAGTGGTGGGTATTCATTATTTATGATTAGGCCGACTTGCTTTCCTGGCTTTGCTGGTTCTGTTAATGATTTCTTACCAAAGACACATTTGGTGATAGAGGGCAATAAAGGAAAATAACCCGCATCATCCGTATTTTTCGAAAAACCCTCAGGCAAAACGTGAACCTCCTTTCCAACACGATAATCTGGAGCACTATCCAAAAGGCTACCTCCATTCATGGAAAAGTTTGAAATTGTTTTATTTTATTTATTATTATTTTGAATAATTTTGCTATTAATTTCAGAAGTATATAATTAAATTATTTGTTTTTTGGAGCAATGAGAAAAAAAGGTGTCATAAAAGGTTAAAAGAATTTTTAAAAAATATTGCAATAATTTCGATAAACAACATGATGTAATACAAATATTTGGTGGAAATATAGGAAACCGGTTAGGATGAGAATTTGTAGGTGCGGAGTGATTGACCCATCTAAATGATTGATAAAATTAGAAGATATATAAATATATATATATATATATATAAAAGTGAAAGGATCAGCAATTCTTCATTATTTAATGTTCATCCAAATTCTTTGCGCTTGTTTCTCCCTTCACTTCGTGTATGCCATACCGATAGATAATGGAGTAATTGGTATACCAGAAGTTGACTGTGGACCAAACTCAATAGGTAAATTGTTTAAATTTTGGCATCATATTTCTTAGGACTTAGGCATCTCCATGTTTATTTCGATTTTAACGCGATAAATATCGAAGATTATTAATGCATTTATGCATAGAAAATAGAAAATATTTGGATCATTAAGTTTTTTTATCAATATTTTTTTCTGAGAATTTTTAGTTCGACTTCTTTAGTTAGACTTCCCCTTGTTGAGCAAATTTTGCATTGGAGTCATTCGGTGAAGGAAGTACAAATGAGTCACCGCATCACCAGAACAAATTAATTTACTTGAATTTTATATCTGTGGCATTTTTGACATTCGAACTCCAATCTTTCTTTATGACTTAAAAATAACCATGCAAATTTCTGAAATAAGTAAAAGCAACAGTTTTATGTCCCAAAAAGTAAGAAGAATTGAGGAATTTTTCTCTTCTTCTTATTATTCTGATAAGTTGCTGCCATTATGAGTTCAAACTGAAGGTTCGGTCTCTTTCAGGATACTCATAAGCTTTGAAATTTAAAATTAGAGTTAAAATCAATCAAAAATATGGTTCCGGGTGCTAATTTTATATTTTTACACCTTTATATTTCTGATGTGAGAACTTCTTTATAAACTCATTTTCAAATCTTAATTTAAATATAAATCTCTGTGCCAAAAAGCGGATAGACTCCTCTGCGAATACTGGCAAAATTAGACATGAATTGATGAGTCAATATATTTGTGGCGACGAATGAACTTAAGCATTTTATAGAATCTACTTTAGGAATAACTTTCAATGTGCAAAAACAATTCGAAGGCCATGTCTATGTAAAAGGATTAAACAATAGAAATGAATGTCGCAGTGATGGAAGCGGGCAAACAGTGGCCGGAATAGAATTGCCATTTGAATCTTGTAATGTAGCCCGTATACGATCATTAAACCCACGAGGGATTTTCGTCACCACAACTGTTGTTATTACTTTTCATCCACAATTTCTTACAAAAATTGACCGAGCTTATCGATTACAATGCTTTTATATGGAGGCAGATAAAACAGTTAGCACGAAAATTGAAGTTTCTGAAATCACAACCATATTCCGTACTCAGTTGATACCAATGCCAATTTGCAAATATGAGGTATTTTACATGTTTTTTTCAGCTTTCTGTAGCATTATCTCATAAGAGAAATTATCTCAGTTTATAGTTAATTAGGGAAGTTGAGCATGAACTTTTTTACTTATCGATCAATAGACACGTTCGAAAAAAAGCAACAGGAAAATGCAGATTTTTTTTAACGGGACGGATGATTTTGTTGATTATTTCAATGAAATTACCGCAAAAATTAAAAATTATTTATAGAGGCTTGCTTTTTCGCTATTTATTGTCTTTTCTTCTTTCCTTTAGGAAGTTCTTTGCCAAATCTTCATTCTTCAAATCTTTCTAAGCTGTCGAAGTTTGTTCATTAATAAAAAAGTAGTCCTAGCTGCTTAGAGGAAGTGATAGTGACTCTATAATTGTTTTAGATTCTAAACCGTGAGCTGACCGGCGAGCCAATTTTAAATGCTGTGATTGGCCAGCAGGTTTATCACAAATGGTCTTGCGATTCCGAAACATTGAACACGTTTTGTGCCATCGTACATACTTGTTTCGTAGACGATGGGGCAGGTGACAGAGTGGAGTTATTAGATACAAAAGGATGCGCACTTGATAAATACCTTCTTAATAACCTTGAATATCCAACTGACTTGATGGCTGGCCAAGAAGCACATGTCTACAAATTTGCTGACCGTCCGCAGCTTTTTTTCCAGTGCCAAATCCGTATAACGATAAAAGAGCCAAACAGTGATTGTGAACGGCCGAAATGTGAGGAGCCATTAGGCTTCGGCTCGCATCGATCAAAAGAACAAAGTCGTTTTAAAAGAAGGTCAATCCAAAATAGTGGTTATGATGAGAATATCGTCGATACTCGTGTCGATATCAGTGTTTTGGATATAATTGACCAGGTCAGTCAATCTATGTATATATATATTTAAATTAACATTCAATTTAAAGCGGACTCTTGGACTCTTTATGAAATGAATGAAATTTGATTTTCTGCGAGAATTATTCCTGGTCAATCTCTTTTAAAATACTAATAAGCAGATTTCAATCTTATAATAAATAAATACATGTAAAATTCAAACATGCGAATGGCTTAGATAATCGTCTCAACCTTGCCTGCAGCACGCGTAAACCTGCCATTAAAATATTCGTGGGGTCCATCTATAATTCTGTTCATAAATAACTCTCTATCAAAAATTTATACTAATAATCGATAGATCGAGCCTAACCAAAAATTTTAAGCGCTAACCATTTAATTCAAACTCGAAATTTTCAAATAACAAGTTACAAATTACAAATCATGAAGTTCAAATCGCTTTAATAATTTTCAGCTAAATTAAAAATTGAAATTTATCGGATTTCTCGGATTTTAAAATAATATAAGATTCTCAATTCTCGAGTTATTCCGATTGTTCACCGATAAAAATGTTGAATCAAGTTCTCGTAGGATTAGATTAGTTATCAGAGAGATTCAATCTTTTCTGTATTGAAATAATAGTTACTTTCTTAACGATTTGCTGACGCGGAAGTTGTGATTCTTTTAATATCTGATTAAAAATTAATGAAATATGTTAATGCGACGTTTTAAACAATGGGCGAAGATTTTCATACAAACTTTTTAAATCATAAAACCAGATTTTTTCCTTCTTAATACCTCTCTTAATTTAAAAAGTATATTTAGTTTCAAAATATATTCAAAAATTTGTTTATCAAGCATAGGAATGAAATTTTTAAAACATGGTTATAGCAGTTGTTTTTTAAAATTAATGGTCTGATAAATTTTTCATATATTCTGGAGGTAAAAAGTGATTAGCGATCACGATTTTTGGTTAAACTAGTTTTCCATCCTTAACTAAGAAGTAGAATCGAATAACTGCCGCCATTCCGGCTTTTCAGCGACTTATATCGAGGCAAGAGCCAAGTCCTTGCTTCTCAACGCGATAATCTCTGCTATTATCCTGGCGAGCACAAAAATATATCATAAAAATGTATTATTTATATGAATTTTTTGATAATGTTTTTATAAATTTTTTTTATTGGTTAATGATTGACATAGACATAGCATAATCCTTTCCATCTAACGATACACATTTTTCTTATTTTCTTAGTTAACTGCCTCCATTGACTATTAAGGTGTGTTCAGCAACGATGAGCCCACAATAGTCGCCGCATATTTTCCTCGATAGCAGACTTATTTCAGTGAAAAGATAAAAGTAGAAACGTGGTTTCCAAGCAAATTCGTTTTTAATTCTCTTATTCATATGATTTCACTTCGCAGTGGGAATTTTTCGTCTAATTCTTAATTATTTCATGATAATTGAATAAATTGATGCGAATAAATCATATTTCAAACTTAGATATATAAGCTAGGAAAGTCGCATTTTTTCCTCTAATACGAATGTTTTGGTCTCTTTTTGCCTACTGGCAGATCCTTTAGAGAACCAAAGTATAAATGGGCTTTTAGCATCAATCGAAATCGCTATAATTTTATAATGCGAGCAATCGCATTAATTTCCGATAATTGAAAAAAAAAATCTCCTTTGTGAATAATTTATAAAAAGTATTGCAGGATGAAAATCATGTGAATTTTTCTTCAAAAATACATCGCAGCTTAGATTCAACGTTTGATGGAATATGTTTGCGACAAATGCATTTTTTTTATTTTTTTATTGTCGTTTTAACAATTTATTCAAATATTTGTATATTCTTAATAATCTCTCGATTTAGGAAAATTTGGCAAAATTTTTATTAATTTAGAAGAAACTTTTTAGACGATTTATGGTGGCCATCAGCAAGCACTATTGCTCATCTGTGAAGCACGTAATCCAAAAATGACTCGGTCGAAACTTAAGAAACTGTAAATATATTCATTCCCATTCAGTGCGATACTTTTAACCTTCTATGTAGAGTAATTTTAAATTCTCCGAAAACAATCGTCTTGCTCAAATGGAAGTACCAGAAGTCTATCGCAAAGAAACTTTACGGCTCAATATATTTCTAATTCTTTTGTTAGATTTTTTGATTTTTCCGGATAATTTTCTTATCTTTTTTATTTTTTGGGAGATTTTCTTTTTTCATTTCTTATCTCAAATAGTTTATCTTAATTAAAAGATTTTTTAACCTATATTTACGATAAAATTCGATAAATAATGTTACAATTGATACAACAACAAAAATGCAGATTGGCTGAATTTTAAATTAAAGATTTAGAATCAAGTATTGAAATGATCCTTTTTTCCTTCTTATAACAGCACTCATTATTCTTAATTTGGCTGGTTTCACTGGCTATTTAAAATCTTTTTCCTAATTAGCCATTCAGAGGTTCATGTGGATGCCACTTTCAAGAATTCATTGGATCCTGACAGGTATTTGCCATGGAATATAATCTGAATCAAAGTATTCTTTAGAAGTAGTTATATATAAATTTTCGACAGTGAATTGTATACATGAAAATAATCTATAAATTCTAATTTATTTCTCTATTTCATTTAATAAATATTGAATTTGAGAGATTTTTTTAATGTAATGCAAAACAGTGATAAAACATTAATTTAAGTAAATTGCATAATTCTTCGCAGCAAATCAGCTCATTTCGAATTGCTTATTTCGAATAAATTTCCCATAATGGTAAAATTTCAAAATTAGCCAGATCAATGTTATGCTCGAGTGGAGATAGTGACTTTATTCACGCTTTTTTATTCGTAAATGAAAAAAAATTTAACTTTTCACTATATTTTTTTTTCAGCAATTTGGTACAGTTTAAACTATATCAGTTTAAACTTAAGCAAACATTTGAAAAAATGATTTAAAAACTTGTCAATAAAATATGAAGGCAAATAAAAAAAATTGGAGAACAAGGAAGATAACGAAAGTAATGACGAAAGTAGCAAAAAGATTAATGAAAAATAGATAAGTGAAATATTTTCTCTAATAAAGTTCACCACTTCTTGTTTGGTTGGCTTCGGTTATTTGAATGGGCTTCCTTCTAGAAAAACGAGTTGGTTATTAGCATCAATCAGATTTCACTCTAAAAACTAAAAACTCATGGTGTAGAACATTTTCTAATGGTTTGGCTAAGGTAAATAAATCAATGAATTCTTCAAAATCTTGTGATATTTCATTTTGAAATTATTTGACCGAAAAAATGCATAGAAAATTTTTTATTCATCCTTAAATTATTCTTAAATTGTTTTTATTTCTAACATATAATCATTTCTGGAGATCGATCCTTCTTTTTGTTTTAAATGATCAGTAATGCATTATATATTGAATATTAAAAGCAATCTAAAGCAACAATTTAGCGATAGAAATATTTTAAAGAATGATGAGGAAACGACGAAAAATTTAAAGAAGATTGAATGGCGAGAGATTTAAAGAATGTCCTGAGGGAAGATGTTGACGCAGGGTGCTTGGCCAACTGTTTCTAGTTTTCCTCAAAGTATTCATTTACGCCAATTTTCGAACATTTCCTCCTTATACATCATTTCGCTCTGAACACCATGGTACTTAATAACGTCATAGTACTTTTTTTAAATTAATATTCGCTTTTTGATTTTTTCGCACTCACAGTTCTCATTTTTGATTGGATAATGGTTTAGATCATATTGAAAGATAGGCTTATGCCAAAACATTCAAATTCATCATGAAAAAAATTCGACTTGTTCATTTTCGATTTGTTCATTTCATTTCAATTAATTTAACGTCAAGTTTATTCCGTCAAAGAAAAAAGACAAAATCCATGAATTTGGCTTGAATCAAAGAAACACATCAATCCACAATTCATTAATTTTTACGATTCCTCTTACAACGCTCTGTGAATATGAATTTTGTCGGCTAAGATTAAGCATCATAGGTTCGAATTCTGTCCCTTAAAGGCTTCTCATTAAACACTAGAGAAAACCCATATTCGCTAGCTGGGTCAGTTAAATTGGAAATAGCGAATGCTATTGTAGAAGCAGAGTTTTGCCACCTTCTCTCTATTATCACTGTTCTTCCATCCACTTTTTGGAATGCAGATGTCAATTCTATTAATCGCATGAATCGCTTTTGAAATTATTTTGAATTCAGTTATTATTCACGGAGGTTTCAAATTTTTCGTAATTCTGTTATAACTTGCTCGAAATTAGACGATTTAATACGTACGATTTTCAGCCATATAGAAAGTTTCACAAGAATTATACCTTCAAAAAATCTGTGGTAATTTTCAATTAGTTCATAAAGGCTTTCCTTAAAACTCTTTAGTTCTTTACTTTTTTTCCTATTTTTTTGCGGATATTATCAGCTTTTCCAGTTTCATGAAAAATGAAACATCGAAAAAATCGTTCATTGATTTGCTTAGGATAGCTGGCAGGATAATTAACAATTATCAGTTATCTCTCATGTATGTATATATAACAAAGTATTGCAGCATATTACTTCATTATTCTTATAAAAAAGAGTAAATTTAATCGTTTTTTCTAGAATATCCTCATGATCAAAGAACAGATTGAATGAATGGCTTAATTGAACTCGCAACTCCCACACATGAATTGTTTGTTCTATGAACAGATAGCAAAACGATAAATGCAGTGATATCGATAGTAGATATTAATGTTTAAGCGAAGAAATAAAAGGAATTGAGAGATCTTTCGGATTAGCTTTTAAGATGCTTTACGGAGGAAGTAATTTCAGCGTTCGGCAATAATTTTAATTTTTAAAATTTTTAAACAAAAAATGGTCATCATAAATAATTCAATTTCGATCCTTTTTTTTCATTGCCTTTCTCCAAGTTCTTAAAAAAAAGTACGAATTTTCTTGAAGTGCAAAATAAAAAGTTGTATGTCGCCTGTTTTTTATCGAAATTCGCCATAAAAGATTGTCAATCTATCAACAAAAATATGTCGGCTTTTAACAATCATTGATCATTGTAAATAAAAATTGTAGGTGAATATGA